TTTGTGTGTGCTGAAGACCAGCCACACTGAGAATGCAGCGTGTGGAGCCAGCCAGCCAAGAAGGGCAAACAACTCCTCCAGTGCTGCTCCGGGTTTCTGCAGCTTCCCTGCTGGCTGTCGACAGCCAGCACAGTGCTGTGGAAGCATTGGTGGCAGCATTGGTGGCGTCAAGCTGCTTGTCCTTTAGGGACTGACGCACAGCTGGGCCTGTGCTCCTTGGCTGACACCCGGCCCCTGGGACAGTGCAACGGACCCTTCATTGAAGAGACTTCTCAGTGTCGCCTTTCCAACTTAATGCTGTCATACAGTTTTGAGACCTTCTCCACGAACACAATATTGTGATTTTTGTCTCTCAGCTGCTTTGAGTCACCCATTGCGACTGTCTATAGTGTTCCCTTGTTGTGGTAAGGCGCCGCCCCTTTTGTGTATTCTCAATCTCACGGTAACGGAGAGTGAGCTTCAGGCCGCTGCTTTTGGTGCCAGGGACAGAGCCCAGGCTTGCCCGTTCACACTTCCTTTCTGTTTCTAGATCTCACCTGGCTTTGATGCCAGGCTAACGCTGCTCTGACGGACTGTGTGGGCAGGGGTTTGTGTTACTACTGCAACCCAGCATCGTGAGAGTACTTACGCCACACTACTGCAACCCAGCATCGTCAGAGTACTTACGCCACACGGTGCTCACCTGGGGACCCTGAATCAAAATTCAGAGTTAAAAATGGCTTCTCCTGGGTACCTCTCCTTCAGCACCACCATAAAGTAGAACATTGTAAGCCGATTCATTGTAAACAGACCAGGCCGTGTGTGTTCTCAAAATTATTTGTTCATAGTATTTTTCTGACACTGCTTTTGTTTGTGCTTCGGCCCAGGGATTATTTAAAATTGTATCATTTGTGTTCTAAAATTTTAGGATTTTTTTTCCTCCCCTCCAGAGATCTTTCTGTTGTTGATTATGATTTCCTTCTCTGGTGGTTAGAATAACTCATTTGGATCGATGTTAACGATTTTAGGTGCACAAAGACTTGTCTGTGGTTAAAATGTAGTCTATATTCCTGAATGTTCCATACGCTGTTGAAAAGGATGGATAGCCTGCTGCTTGGGGGAGGAGGGACCCAAACTGCCGACAAGTCCAAGTGGACTGCAGGAACTGTTCCCATGTGCTTTATTCCTACTGGTCGATCTATTAACTGTTAGTGTCTCACAGTCGCCTGCTAAGTTCCCGTTGTTTTGTCCATCTCAACCATCAGTTTTTATGTCGCAAAGTCCCCGGCTGTTTGTTCAGCCCCTCGACATTTAGAATCGTGGCATCTCCTTATTTCCTTGATTTCTCTTTTCTTACCAAACAATACTACAAAAATCTCCCTTTCCTGGTTATGTTAAGGATACACAACCTTCTGTGGTATATCTTGTCCATAATTGTCCACCCCCCATCTCTGTCTCTCTTTCTCTCCCCTCTCCACAACCCCCTTTTCAGCACAAGAAGTCAGGGCAAGCCTCCACCACTGGGCTACATGTCCACGTTGGGAATCTCCAGCTTGGGCCCCATCCCAAGCCCTGTCCAGATGTTTGGCGGGGGGCTCAGCCCACTCCTCCCATTCCAGACCCCCCCCCCCAGAAAGCCCGCCAAGCAGCGGCTCCTCCCCCGAGGGTATTTAAGGTCTTCTCCTTGGGAGCATCCTCCTGGTTTCCCCTCTTTCCCGAGACCACCTGGGAATGCTTTGCTCAGATTAAACCTGGTTTTATTAATTTAGCTGTATTTGGCTTAATGCATCAGTGGAGTACCTACTGTGGGGAGGGGGGGTTTCATAATACCACTCCAAATCTCTTTTCTATCTTATTTTAAGACTGGGGTCTCGCTGAATTACCCACACTTGCTTTGTAGCTCTGTATCCTAGGCAGGTCTTGAACTTGTGCACCTCCAGTCTTCACTTCCAATTAGCTGAGGTTGCAAGCCTGAGCCACTCGGTTTGTCTTGGTTTTTATTTTTAAGAGAAGGTCTCACTGTGTAGCCCAGGCTGTACTTGAACTCATAACCTGTCTTAGTTAGGGTTACTATTGCTGTGATGAAACATGACGAAACAGACCAAGGCAACTTGGGGGTGAAAGGGTTTATTTGGCTCACATTTCCACATCACAGTTCGTCACTGTAGGAAGTCAGGACAGGAACTCAAGCAGGGCAGGAGCCTGGAGGCAGGAGCTGACGCAGAGGCCATGGAGGGATGCTGCTTACTGACTTGCTCCCCATGGCTTGCTCAGCCTGCTTTCTTAAAGAACTCAGGACCACCAGCCCAGGGATGGTCACATCCACAATGGGCTGGGCCCTCCCCATCAACCACTAACTAAGAAAATGCCCTACAGCTGGCTCAGATAAAGGTATTTTCTCAATCGAGTTTCCCTCTGTTCAGATGACTCTGGCTTGTGACAAGTTGATATACAGCGCCCCTTTCTTTCTTGTCCTCTTTGATGCTGTGATTGTAGGTGTGCATTACCCACACCTGGCTCCACTTGTTTCTTTGCACCTGAAATACATTTCTTTTTTTTTTTTTTTTTTGTTTTTTTTTTTTTTTGTTTTTCGAGACAGGGCTTCTCTGTGTAGCTTTGCGCCTTTCCTGGAACTCGCTTTGGAGACCAGGCTGGCCTCGAACTCACAGAGATCCGCCTGGCTCTGCCTCCCGAGTGCTGGGATTAAAGGCGTGCGCCACCACCGCCCGGCCTGAAATACATTTCTTGCAGGCAGGACATTGCTGGGTCTTGTTTTTCTATCCAACGCAATAAATAATGTTTACGTTTACCTGGGTCCACTGTCAGCATGTGTGGTTGGTTCTTAGTGGTTAGGTCCAGGCTGATGGTGCTTGTTTGTTTCAAAGACTTCTCATTTTTTTTTTCTTGGTTCCCTTTTCCACATTTTGCCATATTTGAACTAATTGGGTGTTTGCTATTCCACTTCATCTCCTCTGCTAGAGTGTTACCTATAACTATTTTTTTCCTATTCTGATGACTGCTCAGCATTTACAGCACACAAAGCAGTCTGCTCTCCTGGTATTACCCCAGCTCCTGATTGATTTACTGTAAGAAAGAAAAAATAGCCTGGTGGTGGTGGTGCATACCTTCAATCCCAGCACTCGGGGGGCAGAGGCAGGCGGATCTCTGTGAGTTCGAGGCCAGCCTGGTCTACAGACTGAGTTCTAGGACAGGCTCCAAAGCTACACAGAGAAACCCTGTCTCAAGGGGGAAAAAAACACCAAAAAAAAAATGGAAAATAAAAAATGGTTCATTTTCAAAAGTGCCTTGAGCAGCTTAGGTCTGGCCACAGATGAATAGGAAAACACTGTTGCCCACCCTCCCAACCCCTGTTAGTCTGGGTACCCTGACCCAAATCAAATTTAGATTGAAAAATTATTAGCAGCCAACCTTGCCTAAGGACTTACAGACATGACAAGTTAATCCACCTGATAAATCTTTAAATGAACAGGTTGTAAAATGCAGGGATGAGCCCTAACATACTTTTGTTGAGAAATAGACAGACATAAGAGGTAGAGAGAAAGTTAAGACCCAGATGAAATGTGTGGTCATTTGAATGTAATTGGCCCCCATAAGCTCATGGGGGACATGGCATTATAAGGAGGTGTGGCTTTGTTGGAGTAGGTGTGGCCTTGTTGGAGGAAGTGTGTCACTGTGGAGGCAGGCTTTGAGGTCTCATAGATGCTCAAGCCATACTCAGTGTCTCAGACCACTTCCTGTTGCCTGATGATCAAGATGTAGCTCCTCCTCCACTCAGTTCCTCCTCCAGCACCATGTCTGCCTACATGCCGCCATGTCCTGCCATGATGATTGTTCAGGTGGAAGCGCCACCTCAGCTGCCCCTCCCCATCTCTCTCTCTCTCCCTCCAAACTCTGCCTCATCTCAGAAGACCTGCCAAATGGTGGCTCCTCCCACAGAGATGCACAAGACCACTCCTACAGGGTATTGAAACTGCCCCCCAGAGAACAGACAAGTGGTTTTTTGGTCTCTTCTCCTTGTCTCCTCTCTGGCAGCTGGAAAATCACCTGAAAGTGTTTCACTCATTCAACCTGGACTTTTTCTTGATTCGGTTTGATTTGGTTTGATTTGGATTACTGTGTTGGTGGGGAGGCTCAACACCAGGGTGTGGAAACCTTTCATTGATAATGGACTGGACCTCTGAAACTGTAAGTCACCCATGAAATGTCTTCCTTTGTAAGAGTTGCCATGGTCATGGCTTCTCTTCACAGTAACAGAAACCCTAACGAAGACGGCATGTAAGGCAGTACCCTCAAGATGACTCAGCCAACGAGGAAGAGGTGGAAGGGGCCTGCTTCAGGGTTATAAAAACCATTCTTTGGTGGGGACACTTCAGACCAGTCTACTCACAGCTGATAGACATGTGACTTGCTTGCACTCGATGCTTTAATTGAGAACATGCCTGCTTCAGAACCCCGTGGACACAGTTTCATTCCTCTTGGGTAGATGTTGGGGTATGGGTGTCTGGCTGTACATTACTGCCAAGGGCTTTTGAATGTGGGTTTATGACCACAGTCTGCACACATGGGCCTTGCTTTTAATTAAATCTCATGACTCCTGCCTTATAATTGGGACATTTAGACCATCTATGTTCCCTGTGATGGTTGATGTGGTTTCTTGAAAAAGCTTTTTTTGTTTTGGAGACAGAATCTCTCTACGTGGCCCCGGTGGTCCCAGAATTTATGTTAATCCCAGCACCAGGAAGGCTGAGATTAAGTGTGAGCCACCACACCTGGCTCTTGCTAATGCTTTTACTTGTCCTATCTGTCCTTTGTCCCTTTTGTCTTGCCATGTTGGATGGACTACACTTTCATGACCACGGTGTATGTGGCCTTTGGCTCTGCACTTACCCTCCTGCGGCAGAGACTGGCTTTCCCTCCCCTGAGATGGAGGGGCAGTGGGGAAATCTTTGCTCATAGCTGGATCAGGCGCCTCCTGTTTTCCCAGCAGCTTCTGTTTCCCGTGAGACGTCAGTGTCAGCAGGGATGGGTCCTGCCGTGTTCCTTGGGGCTCTGTCATCTTCTCGTCATTGTTCAGTACCTGACAGCTAGTGCGGCCGTGGACAGAGCTGGAGAGCCCAGGCAGACCCTGGTGTCCAGCCCTAGGCATCCAAACTGACTCCTCAGCCAATTCTTTCCCTGTAGGAATTCATAAAAGCTCTCTGCTGCATTCTTTCAATCTTCTTTCATGGCCACAGCGCTTTCATCTACGCTTGTCAGATGCTGTGCAAGAAGCAAGGGGCGGACGGTATAATGCTCACAGATGGAGGAGGAACCAGGCGGACTGCATTTATACTTCATTTTCACCTCCTTTATGTAAAAATGATGTTCAAGCGAAGGATAGAGCAGTGACTCAGGGACTCAAACAGAAAACAAAAGGAGACCTGCGAGGAGACGGCTAAGGCTGGAGGTAACTTGTGTGCCACCCTGAAGAGAGAAGGACTGAGAGATGGAGGGAGGAGGGGGGAGAGCTAACGAGGCGGAGAGAACCCAGAGAGAGAGACCTTGGGCTTTTCTAATGGGAAAGGGACTCAGTCTCAGGAGCTAGTTGATGAGCTGCTGATCCGTGTGCAGTTTTAGTTTAGAAATAAAAGATGTTTCAGAATATCTGGGAAAGCAAGGTGAGAGCAGTGACTTACACAAGAAAGAAAGAGACCACCTCAGATTGGACTCTTCTGTTGAAAACGCCTCTATCTCCTTACACAAGGATGGGGAGAAGCCTATGGGAAAAAATGCCCTCAAGTGATGGTAAGTGACTGAACAAGCCTGCTGATAGGCTGATAGGCCAATGCCATCTCCAAAGATCTGTGGTGTTTGTGTGTGTGTGTGTGTGTGTGTGTGTGTGTGTGTGTGTGTGTGTGTATGTGTGTCCGTCCGTGTGTGTCTGTGTGTGTCCGTGTCCATCCATCCCAGCGCTGAGGTTCCAGCCGAGGGCCATTCAAGTGCTAGCCAGCACTCTACCCCTGAGCTACAAGGCTCCCCAGTCTCTGTATGTGGATCATTCTTCCTTTTCTCCCTTCTCCTCCTCTTTCCCCCTCTGTGTTCTCTACTAGAGTTAACCGAGGCCCTCCCATTTCCTGACTCCTCCCTTGGGGCGGACTCACACCTGTGGAGTGAGCTGTGCCGCTGCAGGAATTTAAAATTGAAATCGACCTGGGAATGGTGGTGTACAGCCATGGTTCCAGGGGTGGTAGGGGTAGGAGGATAGGTAGTTCAAAGCCAGCCTTGACTACATTTGAGGTTGCATGGGAAACATGAGACACTATCTCAAACATAATTAGATAAAGAAAAGATAAAGTCTATAGCAACACAAAACCTTCTCTCGACTGTGAGCTGGTTATGAATGAAGCAAAGCTCCATGTTGAATCTCTGTGATTGGGACCAAGTCTGTATCATGAAAAGTCACTTCTAGGCCCAGATAAGTGCCTTCCTCAAATTGCTTCCGCCAATATTGGGGTGGGAGGGTGGGGGGTGGGGGACTCCAAAACTTCCAGAAACTCCAGGACTCCTAGTGGAGGGCTGATGCCAAAATAAGGCCACGGAGAGGCGTCTTCCACAGAAAGCTTTGCTTCCCTGGCCTTCCCTGGCCACCCAGAACAGCTGGTGCCCACAGCTGGCTGGGTGAGCCACAGACCAGCCCAGGAACTCCTAAACACAAGGGGATGGAGATTTTATTTTCACCACGGTCCCTTTAACACAGAGTTAGATATTTGGGGCCAGAGATATTAAGCAAGAAGGTGGATTGTGAGAAGTATTTTGAAATACTGTCATACCCTCAAGCCACCAACCACAGAAGTGGCAAGTATTTAATGTTTTTAAAGTTTTCTTAAACATTTTGCAAATCTCTGTGGAAAAATATTCCCATGTGTCTCGCTTTTGGCTCTGACTGTCCCGCTGTTACCAAGCAGGAAGTTCAGTTTATATATCAAGAGAAGTGGCCGAGTGAGCAGGGTTTGGTGCTCCTGCGGTCTGCAAGTCAACAGAAGCGTGTGTTGGTTGGTTTTAATTGACAGCTTGAAATAATCTGGCATCACCTGAGTAGGGAGTTTCCCCCAGGAACTTGTCTAGATTAGGTTGGCCCGTGGACATGCTTACTGGGGATTTTCTTAGGTGGGTGAGGGGCATCAGTTTTAGGGTTGGGCCGTGGGTTAAATGAAAAGGAGAGGTCTGTCCGTGTGCTGGCATGCATACACTAGCTCACTGCTCTCTGCTCCCGATGTGACTTCTTCAAGTTCCTGGCACCTTGATGACAAGGACGGACTGTAACCTGGATCTGTGAGCCAAATAACCCCTTTCTCACTTTAGTCACGGTGTTTTTGTTTGTTTGTTTTGTTTTGTTTTTCGAGACAGGGTTTCTCTGTGTAGCCCTGGCTGTCCTGGAACTCTGTAGACCAGGCTGGCCTCGAACTTTTAGAGATATGCCTGCCTCTGCCTCCCGAGTGCTGAAATCAAAGAGTGTTTTATCACATCAATAGAATCAAGAAGATGGCAAGCATGTATCACAAGCCAAGAGGAAACCACATGACCTTTGAACTGGGAAGGCCAAGCTGAGAGCAGAAGTCCTAGAAGTCCTTAAACTAGAGCAGGCCACTGATGTAGAAATCCAGGTGGGAACAGAGGTCCCTTTTGTGTGAAGAATTCTGACCAAATTCATCAGTCACTGAAGTACCTTAGAGATGTTTCAATACACAGAACAATTCAGAGGGAGCAGAGGGGTAGGGTGGCTGGCTCAGTGCTACCATGTTCTTTTAGAACAATGCTTTTTATTAAAAAAGGCCTCATAAAATTAATTCCTCAGTCCCTATCTTTCTCACCAATCCTTCTCACGCCTGTCCACAGCCACCTGGGAACTGACAGAAAGCTCATGAAGGCTTGGCACCCTCAAAGAGATTTCTTCAGGGCCCGACACTGAGGACGGGGTTTGTTTCTGGAACCACACTCTCCAGTCTCGGCCCTTTGCACTGCGCAGTTGTCCCAGCATCTATAAGGCTTTTCCTGAAGTTTTCTGGGAGGAGTTCTGGCGGCCTATGCGCAGATATGCTTTTCACATTATTCACATTGCTGGAGGATCCAGCCGTGGAATGAGATATGGTGACTGCCCCTGGGAACTTGTGATCAAGACCCATTACAGTCTCAAGCTGAAGGGGCATGGTTCCTGTGCAGGATCTTAGAAACTCCCCACCCCCCTCAAAATAATAGAATCACATGGTGTCATATTCAATCACATACTGTCAGGATGTTGAAAAGATCGTATTTTAAAATAATGAGCATGGAGAAACTGGTGATTCAATAAGTTTAACAGTTGTTAATGTTCTTGCAATAGGAATTAGACAACAAATATATTACATGTGTTTATAATGTAATGCCATGGTAAGCTTGAAATGAAACCAACTGCAAGTCCCATGTGGCATGTAACACAGCTTGGTATTTAAAATCTCCTCATCCAGGACGAAGTCACATTCCAGCGCCAGATGTGCATGATGCTATTTAAAACACTGTCTTCAGCTGCATGCACGCCACACACGGTATACGAGGTGTCTCGGTCCAGCTCACCCTCCTGGTAGTGTTCCCAGCAGATGCCTGAATTCATGCAGAATCTCTTGCATCTCCTGCGTTTAATGACGGTCTGAGAATTGGAAGCATGTTCTGCTCAGCTGCCCACATTCTTCTGTGATGGGAAATTGTTTATGCCTTGCCATGATGGGATGAACGCAGAACGTCATCAAGCACACCTTGCTGTCTCTGGTGCACAGGGCTTTCTTCTGCGAAATTCCATCTGGACTACCTGAGCCCTTCAGGTGGGTGCTGTGGGAAGGATCCTCCACAGAAACTGGACTCTCTCCAGGCACTCACACTCTGCTTGGGAAGACCTGAAGCGGACACATCGAGTACCCTAGGACAGCAGGGAGTTCACTACAAAACTCATCTGTGAAGAGCTGGGGGATGGCAGTCATTACAGGAGCTGTCTGTGTCAGGAGGACAGCTTTGGGAGGCTCCTGTAGGGGGATCTCCAGCTTCATCCCAGCAGTTTGTGGGGTATGTGGAGGTGCTGGGTCCTTCAGCTGACCTGGGGAAATGCAGGGCAGGAGGGAGCACACATCCTGGAAACACCTTGGCCAGGGATCCCATTTGGGAAGCTCAGAGTCAGAGAGTGTCAGGAGGACTGGGAGAAGAGAGAAAAGACACTTTTTAAATTACTATTTTTTTTTAAGAGTTGTGTTAAAAAATAGATTTTTTTTCAACATTCTTTGAGAGCTGCTTAGTAAGGACAGGAGATAGATTATTTACTTATTTAGTTTTTTTGTCTTTGTTTTGTTTTAAAGACAGGGTCTCTCTATGTAGGTCTGGTTGTCTTGGAACTCGCTCTGTAGACCAGGTTGACCTCAAATCCACAGAGCTCTGCCTGGCCTGCCTCTGCCTCCTGAATGCTAGGATTAAAGGCTCTGGCCACCATGCCAGACTTTACTTACTTATTTTTTAAAAATCAGTTGTCTTTAGCTCTATTGAGGTACAAATGACAGAGTGTTGGCTATTTGAAGGGTCAGGATGATGGCTTGAGGTGTAACACTCAGTGAAATGAATTGCACAATCAGGCTGACCTGCAGCTGTTGACTGGAGTCCAGTGACATCATGGGGCCAGAAAGATGCCCTCTCAGACTCCTAGAAAGCGCCCCTTCCTCCTGTGAGCTTGGTGGGTTCAGATGCAGACAGGGGTGCAGATGCGGGATGCAGCTGTGGATGCAGATGCGGATGCAGGATGCAGATGCTCACCGCATCAAAGTAGGTGCTAATCTCTTTCACTTTTACATCCTTTTCAGCACCTAACACAGCTCAGCGGGTGAGCATTGGCTAGATGGAGAAGGGGCAGGAAGGAAAGGGGGCAGGGGAGATGGGGAGAGGGGTTTGTGGTCATGTAGAACTCTGTATTAGTTACTTTTCTCCTTGTTGTGACAAAATGCCCGACAAAAGCAGTTCACAGGAAGAAGGATTATTTTGGCTCACAGGCTGAGGGTCTAGACCAGTGGTTCTCAACCTTCCTGATGCTGTGACCCTTTAACACAATTCCTCATGCTTTGGTGACCTCCCCCCACCCCCACCCCGTCAACGTAAAATTATCTTGTTGATACCTCTTAACTGTAAGTTTGCAACTGTTTAGAATCGTAATGTAAATATCTGATATGCAGAATATCTGATACGTGACCCCTATGAAAGGGTCGTTTGACCCCCAAAGAGGTCATAACCAACAGGTTGAGTGTTGATGGTCTTATCCTTCACGGCAAGAAAAAAATGGTGGCAGGAGTAGCTGTGGTGGCCCCAGAGGCTGGTCAGAAAGGCTGGTGCTAGGCTGGTCTTCTCCTTTCATTAATCCCAAACCCTAGACCCTGGCTCATGGGATGGCGCCACTAACATCAGTGAAGACTTTCTGAAGATTGCCTCATGGAGGTGTGCCTCCCAGGTGGTTCTAAATCCTGTCCAGTGGATTAACCCTCACAGTAGTGGGCAGCAGCAAGATGTTTGCTGGCCCCCAGTGCTGTCTGGTCACCTCAGCAATGGAGATCCATGGAGCACCCACAGTGCTGAGGGGGACTCCCTAAGGGAGCACCCACAGTGCTGAGGGGGACTCCCTCAGGGAGCACCACTGTGCTGAGGGAGACTCCCTCAGGGAGCACCACTGTGCTGAGGGGGACTCCCTCAGGGAGCACCACTGTGCTGAGGGGGACTCCCTCAGGGAGCACCCACAGTGCTGAGGGGGACTCCCTCAGGGAGCACCACTGTGCTGAGGGGGACTCCCTCAGGGAACACCACAGTGCTGAGGGGGACTCCCTCAGGGAGCACCACAGTGCTGAGGGGGACTCCCTCAGGGAGCACCCACAGTGCTGAGGGGGACTCCCTCAGGGAGCACCCACAGTGCTGAGGGGGACTCCCTCAGGGAGCACCCACAGTGCTGAGGGGGACTCCCTCAGGGAGCACCCACTGTGCTGAGGGGGACTCCCTCAGGGAGCACCCACTGTGCTGAGGGGGACTCCCTCAGGGAGCACCACTGTGCTGAGGGGGACTCCCTCAGGGAGCACCACTGTGCTGAGGGGGACTCCCTCAGGGAGCACCTGCAGGCTTTGCTTTCAGCTGCTTTGTTACAGCATCAATGGGGTTGACTGCAAATTGTTCCAAGGATTCACTCTACTCAGAAAGCTGAAGTCAGAGGCTGGGGGACCATTGTCCTCTTGTTCCCTACTATGATCAGGTGTTCTGATTCACTGTCATCTGGTGCACACTTTGACATGAGTCTGAACACACACTGCTCCATTATCCTCTGGGTAGAGTAGCCTGCGATGCGCTAATGTCCTGTCAGCTAGAGAGCAATGATTAGGAGTGCAGAGGTGACTTTGCAGCTGACCTTCAGGCCACCTCAGACCCTGCCTGGTACATGCTGGCTTCCTTTCATCCAGCACTGGTCTTTAAAAAGTGAACTGCACAACCTTCGCTTTCTCCTAATACTATAGCTAATCACAGTGACCTGAAGTCGGTCCACATTTGGGTAGGGTTCATGGGAAATTGGCAATGTGTTTTACCCATAAGCCCTCCTTCTGGCCTGCAGATTAGAAGGTTAATTGAGATTTCTGTATGTAGGTCCTAAAGTGCTAATAATGCATTCTAGGCCTACATCTTTCCAAGCTGGCCTGAGATTAATTGACACTCTGAAGGTAAAGCCTCTGTGTTCTGGATGAATTACAGGGCAAGAGCCCTCCTGATAAACCCTGAAGGATGCAGATGACAGGTATGAAGGATTCTGCTGGCACTGGGGACAACCAGGTGAGTACATCCTGAATCCAGCCTTATCAGTACTGATTGTTCTCATCCTCAAACATTTGTGAACGATTTTGCATAGATTTCAGTTTCTACTTTGAGTGGGCTGTGCATGATGTCAGAATAAGTGAGAGTTTATTTTTAGAAACAGATCACTTAGGTGCAAGTGGGTTGTTTTCCAAAAATCAGGCATTTGGTAGAGTGGCAAATGGTGTGGATGGACATACGTCCATATCTTCTCAGGAGATGTTCTTTCTGTCATTGCTCTCATTTCCCTGACTCTGAGCAGTGGGCTCTTCCTCTGGCATGGCCTGCTATAGGGTGGGGGAGAACAGTGGTCAGGCTGAGGCTCTGGTCAGTCCCAGATCAAAGGTCAGCCTGCTGGTGATACCGGCCCCATTATGAAAACCTCCAATCTCTGTGGGACCCCAGCTGGGAGACTGGCTCCCACATTTTACAACAGGGTACTCTTGAGGAGAGAAGTCTAAAAGATATTAGATAGAAGGATAGAGGGGAGAGAAACAGAAACACAGGATAGCCTCGGGAGGGCCTGGATCATTATCCACCAGCCCCTTCTGTCTCTTCCAAGGACTATTTATAGGAATACCAAGGGGTGGAGCAAAAGACCTCCCCCTAGCTCATCCAAGTGTAGACCCTTCCAATCTCCTGGTAACCATGCACATGGTCAGGCAATCCTCTAATGCAGCCCTGTTGGGCAAAGCAAGCTCAGATCTCACTAGGAAACCTTTGTGGGCCTCCACAAATCTCTACTAACTTTCCTACAGGTTAAAGCTATTGGAGTTTTGTGGAACTCATGTGGAAACAGATGCATGGTTCACAGGAGGCTCACTCCAAAGCAGAGTGCTGCCTCTGGGGATGGTGGGTGGTGGTGATGATAATAGTAGTGAAATTTATATGATGCTGGTGATGACAGCGTGGTGATGATGATATTGATGAGGATGATGGTGCTGCTGCTGACGATGAGAAATGATTATGGTGATGGTGACCGTGGTGATAGTGCTGGTTATGTGGTGATGGTAATGAGGGTGACTATGGCAATGATAATGGTGGTGATGATGGTAGTGATGGCTAAGTGATGATCATGATGGTGACTATGACGATAATGATGGTGATGGTAGTGATGGCTAAGTGATGGTCATGATGGTGACTATGACGATGATGATGGTGATGTCAGTGATGGCTGTGTAAAGGTGGTGGTGATGATAGTGATGGTGAGAATGGAGACGGTAATGATAGTGATGGTGCATTTAACCTCGGTAAAGACTTTGAATTAGAACAACATATTATTTTGATCTGTACATTTTTTAATCATTATATCTGTCCAACTATTCCCTTTAAGAGAATTCCTTTGACATTCTTACGCCCATTTTCAATTTCATTTTCCATGAACACTTGCCATTTGTTTGAGACTTTGGGGTTCCTGCTGTGATTTTACTTTTCTTTGACTCTGTATGTTTCTTTTAAAATCAATCCTAAATTACTAGAATTTCTGAGGTTGAGCTGGGCGTCGGCAGTGCACACTTTTAATCCCAGCAGGATTTAATCCCAGGAGGGTCTCTGTGAGTTCGAGGCCAGCCTGGTCTACAGAGTGAGATCCAGGACAGGCACCAAAACTACACAGAGAAACCCTGTCTCGAAAAACCGAAAAAAAAAATTCTGAGGTCACCGTGAGCTCAGTTAGTGGGTATTTACATCCTGAGGGATGCATGTAGGAAATGGGTTCATCCTGAGGAGTCTGAATGGCCCATCGTTGATCTTGGCTTTTGAAGCTGACCTGTCCTATGAAATGGTTGAGTGTGAACCTCTTCGTCCAGGCCTCCTTGGGATCCCACACCAGCTGCCTGCTTGGGTGTTTCACTGTTGTTGAAAACCATTGGCACTAGTGCGGGGTGCAGATTCTTCTCGTACGGGGCATGTCCCAAGCCAGAGTCACCCCAGCTCTCTCCTTTCTTCTCTTGCGCCCCCCCCCCCCACACACACACAAGGTACTCATGATCTTCCCACCACTGGTCCACTCTGCCAGAAACCTCACAGCACGTCCGTGGTGTAGTGATGATGCAGCTTCTACCGACTGCATCCTGGGGAAAGCATCGTTTCATCTTTATGAAAAATGATTTGTCCATTACTAAAGGAAATGTGAAGATGAAAAACCATCACGGGACAGTTTATTTACAGTCCATCTCTTTGCACTTGTTCCTGGCCCACTGTCCTTCACTGTCTCACTCTGTGAGCAGCAGATGTGAGCCATGGCCCTCCTGGTTCCCACCCAGAGCCTGGTTCATTTGCCCACACAGTTTGACAAAACAAGGTCATGTGCATCTCAGAGCTGAGGCCTGAGAGCTTTGCAGCCTTCTAGCCAATGTGGAGCCCTGAGGCCTCTGTGTCTTAAAGAAGTATAGGAGGGAAGAGGAGGCGGGAGGTGACTGAGAGGAGTGGCCCTCAGCAGAGTCCAGGAACTGCAATGCACTTTGGGAGATAGCGCCTAGCTGTGGCATAGACCGCCAGGCTTCTGGTGACTTCTTACGGAAAAAAAAAAAATTAACTGAAACATAATCAGAACCATTTCTCTCTCTCTGTGAACTCCAACTCCTCTTTATGGTTTCCACAGTCAATGGCCAAGTAGCATGGCCCATGTCCCCCAGAATATCCTGAAGCAGAGACTTCCTGTTCTCTCCTACCCACCTTCCCTATAGGTAGAGAGTCAAAGAACAGGGGGACTGGTGAAGCTTCAGAAGAACATAGCCTGGATGCTCTGCGTGTTGCTATTCCCTATCATTCCAGGAAATATTAAAAGGGGCCTGCAGAAATAGAGAGCATGACAAGGCAAAAATATGTAATTGAGGGAGACCGGAATGAAGGACAAATAAGAACACGGAAGGCGATGAGGGAGATATTGTCACCTTAAAACCAGCTCCTGAGCCAGGGGTATTGCTTCTGAAGAGTTCCGAGGGCACTGCTGGAGGGGGAGGGGAGGGTGGGGGATGGGCGGGTGGCAAGGGGGATGGAGGGGAAGGGGAGGGAGGGGAGGAAGGAGAGAGGAAAACACCCGTCCCATTAGAGCTCCAAAACAGGCGGCAAACATTTGTATGGGAATGCCTTTATTTTTGCTTGGCTGTCTTCCCCTTCATTTTGTTTCAGGGTTTTTTGTTGTTGTTGTTGCTGTTGTTTTGAGACAGCATCTCCCTCTGTAACCCAGGTTACTTTCCTGCTCAGGGTGGCTCCCCAGCCTGAGCCTCCCCAGTGCTCGGGTCACAGGTGGGAGCCGCCATTCTGCGTGTGTTTAAAGAGTTGTTTGCATTTTGTGAGTGTTTGCCATAGGCATGCTGTGTGCCCCATGTGTGCCCGGTGCCCTCAGAGGCTAGCGGAGGGCATGGGTTCCTGGCACTGGAGTTACAAAAGCTCGAGAGCCACCCGTCCTGTGGGTGTTGGGGGCTGCACCCAGGCAGGCTCTCTGCAAAAGCGCCAGTGCTCTTGACCACTGTGCTCTCTCCCCAGAACCCTTCCTTGTGTTTTTACTCAATTTGACATGAGGTTATAGACACCAGAAGTTGTGTTTTAACAGTTAGCATCTGCTATCACACGTAAAATAAGCGGGGCGTCTTAAATGTACTGCTGGAGCTTCCTGACCGACAGCTGACCTTGGGGCGGACACCATCTAGACCCGTTTCTGGTGTAAAGGCAGATGATGAGCAGGACCACGGGCTGGCGGGTGACGAGAGATGCTCAGTGACACCAACCTGGCGCAGTCTGCGGCCATCTCCACTTCTGCACACTCGGTCTAAGGCTCCCTTGTGGGGAGCCACCTAGGTGACATCATGTGTATGCCGCTTCTTCTGCTGCTGTCTCATCCCCTTCCTCCCAGTCACTGAGTGATTTCGCTGTCCCTATCGCTGGGCAGAAAACATCATTAGGGAGAGCTATGTCTATTCTTTTTCTAAAAAAAAGAGATTTATTTATTTCTTATGTGTACAGTATTCTGTCTGCATGTACGCCTGCAGGCCAGAATAGGGTGGAAGTGGGGACTAGGTCTCATTATAAATGGTTATGAGTCACTCTGTGGGTGCTGGGAATTGAACCCAGGTCCCCTAGAAGAGCATTCAGTGCTCTTAACCTCTGAGCCATCTCTCCAGCCCCACTATGTCTATTCTTTAGAAAAGCAGACATGCAGGCAAAACACCTGTGTGTCAGATAGGAGCCATCATTTTGAATTCAGTTACATAGAACTTCAGTCACTATCCGAACAGCTGGATGTAATCGTGTGTTCTTCCCTTTGGCCTTTCCAGGTATGGTACACAGGTGTTGACAGGTAAACTGAGATACAGTTCAAATCCAAGGTCAGTTGTCCCAATGTTTTATCCTGTCATCTGTGACCTGTACTATTCAAAGATTCTCTGAAATGTTGCCTGCTTGTTGCTGAGTTGTGTGTGGTCACCTGAGCTGGTGACAGCTGTCCTTGGGCCTCTGTTAGAGTGGCCACTGGCTTTGGATGTCTCCCAAGGGCTCACATGCTGAAAGCCTGGTCTCCATGGTGGTGGTACTGATGTGGTGGAAACGTCAAGACTAGGGCCATGTGGAGGAGTCATGGGGACACTGGCCACGGAAGGGACTAGTTCTCACAGACCAGGGCTACCTCTATCTAGATGTTATGAAAGAGCAGACAATCTCCACCACTTCTCTGGCTTCCCGTCTCAAGTAAGTGACTGCTCGGAATGCGCTTCTGTCATTATGTCATCCACCATGACATCAGAGCTCCATTGGAGCCAGCCCATGATGATGCCATGTTTTAAATCTTCTGAAGTAGATAAATAAACCTCTTTTGAGCTGGGCAGAGGTGGCGCAAACCTTCAATCTCAGCACTCGGAAGGCTGAGGTAGGCAGATCTCTATGAGTCTGAGGCCAGCGTGGTGTACAGAGCTAGTTCCAGGACAGCCAGGACTACACAGAGAAACCCCATTTCAGAAAAACAAAACAAAACAAAAACCCCTCTTTTGTTGACATATTACCCAGACTTGACTATTTTATTACAAAATATTCAACAAAAGCTGGACAAATGCAGTGACTTAACCACCGTAAGAAAACACCGTGGTTGGCCAGGAAGGATATGTTTTTTCACTTATCACCATCTGCAGAACTGGAGCGGCGCACAGCTGCTGTTGTGCCATCGTTAACACGCAGCATGCTTTTTCTTTCCTACCGGCATGCTCCTCTATTTTGGATCAGGGCTGGTCCAGGTGAGCAGTGGAGCGGGAATAGGGTGGATGCAACTGGATTTAGGCAGCAAAGGCTCCTGATTCTGCCCTTCACCTCTTAGATTGGCACTCCAAAACGTGGCCACCATGCATACAGACACTTGGCAACCTCAGGAGGGACCCCATGGAGAGTGAGGTTCTGCCAGTGACCAGGGCCAGCTTGCTAGCCGTGAGCAGGGATTGCCTCACCAGTGGGCCTTCCAGTCCCTGTCAGTCCTGCAGGTGGTCACAGCCCTGGCTGACATCCAGGCCCACTCTGCTAGACCCGACCTGTAGAGTTAAAGACTATTAAGGTTTAAGGCCATCGAGTTTGGGGTCACTTGTCACACAGCAGTAGGTAACTAGTACGACATTGAACTAGTGCCCTTTGGACTTTAACATTAACTGAACCAACATAAAAGCACCGTACAAATGCCCCAGTGGGCCATCTTTGCCACGGTCATTTCCCAAGACGAGGGAGTTGAAAGAAACCTTTGACTCTCTCATCTTGTAAGAGTTTAGAAAAATGTTTCTCTTTTCCAGGCGTACAGGGAAGGGCTAGTTCAGGGCAAGGAGGACATCAGAGAAACACCTCGAACAGATGGGTCTAGGCTCATGATAAACACAGAGTGGAGCCAATTTTTCAAGGGAGGCAAATTGCTAGACGCGTGTTTACCCTCATTTATCTGCCTTGAAATTTGGCCCCAGTTATGAAAACTAGGAGGCAAAGAAGGAACTGCACAGAGAACACAGGGCCCCAAGGCAAGTGTTGGCTGTTGGGCTGTTACTTGAGAACCTGAGTGTTGTCATGGTCACTGGGTTTTGTTATCTCAAAACTTAGAGGAGTGCAAATCCCAGCCAATCACAACAGACCTGACGGAGAAGCCTTTGACTCACCCCAGGATGGAAAAGCTGCAGGAAGCAGGTGGCTTCCACACTCTGCTCTGAGCCCACCAGTCCCTGGGTGGCCAGGAGGGTGGGGCCCATCCCACTCCTCACAGCACCCAGGGTGGGCTTCTGGAGGGAACAGCTCATGGTGATATTTGCTCGTATTTAATCAGTTTGCAGGTCCACACTTGCCATTCAAGACCTTGCCACACCAATCCTTCAGCAAATATTCCAGGAAGAGGGACCTGGTCCTTCACTGTCACCTCCCCAGATCCTGTCACATCTACTCCCACCTGAAGGCAGGCCATGGGCACTCAGCCACTGCCAGTCCAGGGAGGTGTCTGCGGATGACGAGAGCAGTCAGCTCTGCCCCTACAGGGTCCACCTCAGCTCTTAATAACCATGACTCTGCAGCCAAGTTGAGCTTAACTGCTCTGCAAGACTCCTACTCCCCAGGGCCTGTGCTGGGAGCCAGGAGGGCCATGGGTCTTTGGCCCCAAGGTTTCCCAGTTCACTGCCTTTCCGCCTGGGCAGTGGCCCTGACAGGGTGTGTCATCCCTGTCATGGGCAGTGAGGCTTGCTTTTGTCTCTCAGAGCCCTTCATGCTAACTGTGCCTCTGGTCTGAGCTGCAACCTCCTTGCTCTGACTTTGCCATCTGTATGCAGAACTCAGCACTGGGAATTGCAAGGGAAGCCTGTGCAGTCTGCAGCCTGATCGCGCAATCAGCAACGCAACTCGCAGCTTTCAGGTCATTGCCCGGCTTTGCAAGACCAAAGTCAGCTGACTGACCTATACAGCATCTCAAGAGGCAAGAGATGTCATTTTCTCGCCCGAGGCAAAAGTCCGGTGGGAAGAGATTCTAGGGTACCAGAAAGTGCCGTGGGATGTTCTGTATGTTCAATGTGTTGCTCTGATTGGTTAATAAATAAAACACTGATTGGCCAGTAGCCAGGCAGGAAGTATAGGCAGGACAAGGAGAGAGGAGAATTCTGGGAAGTGAAAGGCTGAGGCAGAGAGATGCTGCCAGCCACTGCCATGAGTACCAACATGTGAGATACTGGTAAGTCATGAGCCATGTAGCAAGGTATAGATTTATAGAAATGGATTAATTTAAGATGCAATAACTAGTTAACAAGAAGCCTGCTGCGGCCATACAGTTTGTAACCAGTATAAGTCTCTGTGTGTTTACTTGGTCGGGTCTGAGCAGCTGTGGGACTGGCTGGTGAGAGAGATTTGTCCTGACTATGGGCCAGGCAGGAAAACTCTAGCTACAAGAAAGCATCCTTGAAATAATTTCCCACAACCCACACATCTGACGCCAACTCTCTCGGCCCTACAGTCCACCATGTCATCCATCCCCTGATGTCTGTCCCTTTCCACCTGTCTTAGTTAGGGTTTTCACTGCTGTGATAAAACATGACAAAAAATATTGAGAGAGGAAAGGTTTTATTTGTCTTACACACTCTGATCACAGTCCATCACGAAGGGGATGTGGGGCAGGAACTCAAGGCAGGAACCTGGAGGCAAGAACTAAGGCAGAAGCCGTGAAAGAATGCTGCTTCCTGACTCGCTTTCTACAGATTACTCAGCCTGATTTCTTGTACAGCTCAAGCCCACCTGCCCAGGGAAAGCACCAGCCACAATGGGCTGGACCCTCCCACATTAATCATTAATCAAGAAAACGCCCTCTGTGTTTCCCACAGGCCAGTCCCCACAGAGGATCATGGGCCATGTCTCGGAGGGTCAGTGAGGTGGTCAGCCTGAGTGACAGCTCGTACTTTGACCAGATGGTGAAGTTGGTGGGCCAGGGCGTGTTCCGGCCTAAGAGGTGACAACTAAGGAGGCAGGTGCCAGACAGTGGGATTGAGGCCAGAACGCCCCAGTTCTCACTCCTGCTCTGAGACGATTCCAGAAGACCTGCGGGAGCGGAGAGCCCAGAATGAGGAGCTCTCTCTGGCCCGTGTTCACTCCCTGGCTGGGTCTGCATCTCGCCTGCTGTGTGACCTGTCAGCAATCCGTGCCTGTTGTTTGTCCACCTCTGTGTGTCTGTCCACCTAGAAACAAGTGTCGTTAGTCAGTCACACGTCAGGCGATCTAGTGTTTGCGTGTGGAGTGCAAGTGCTCACAATACAGTGTGTTGGAGGTAGTGAGAGCGTCATGTCTGCGGCAGGCACTACCCCCTCCCCCTAAACACACTCACCTCATTTCCCCCGTGGGAATGGCGGTGGTATTGATGACAATGTGTCAATGGCAGCTGACAGACTGTCGGCCCTGCTGGTGTAGGCACTTTGCATGCCAGTTATTAAGATTTTATTTTATTTTTTTTTTATCAACATGGGACTACACTGTGTAGCCCATGTTGGCCTCAAACTCTCGATTCTCCTGTCACAGCCTTAGAATGATCGGGATTAGGTTTGTAGGCCTTACAAATCCTACAGAAGTTCCTGTTTTGAGGGCTTCCCATCCTCCACACAGCAAGTCAGCAGAAGTGGAGCCTTTGGAAGTTAACTGGATATGGAGAGCCTGACCTCAGGAATGGCTTTAGTTCATACATGTACTCAGGACTCAATGGCATGAAAGAGATACTTTGGTAAAAACAGTTCTTTCTTTCCTTGGTCTGGCTACTGTGAAGTGGACAGTTTGTTTACCAGGCATTTCCTGCTAGGATGGTCTGCTTCTCCATAGGCTGAACACATGGAAAACAGCCACCCATGGGCTGTGAACTCTGAAACAGTGAGCGGAGATAAAACTTCTTTTCCTTATCACTTGGTTAACTCAGGTATTTTGTCCCAGCAATGGAAATCTAATGTGGAGCAGTGGAGCTAATGCTGGAGTGTCCTTGATAGCATGTGGTTCACAGGCCTTTCAATGTGTTTGTGGGAAGCATTTGGAGAAGTGTGGAGATGCTGGCTGCTGGAGAGTCTCGAGAATGTTCTAAACGGAGCTTAGTGGACATTGTGATAGAGACTTGACCAGAGTGATGACCAAGTTTGGATGGGCCTCAGGATTCTGATAGGAGGTGGAATAGAGAGTACCCCTGGTGTAATACATCCTGAAAGTGCATACACACACACACACACATACACACACACACACACACACCTCTCACACACACACCTCTCTCACACACACCTCTCTCTCACACACACTTTCTGTGTCTCTCTCTGTCTCTCTCACGCACACTCTTTCCCTCTCTCTTTTACATACACACATACTCTCTCTCACACACATGCTGTCACTCACACACTCTCTCACACACACACACTCTCTCACATACCCACATTCTCTCTGTGTGTCTCTCTCTCTGTGTCTCTCTCTCTGTTTCTATCTCTCTATCTCTCTCTCTCCCCCCCCCCACACACACACACACTCTCACACACACACTCTCACTCCCACACACACAGTCTCTCTGTCTCTCTCTCTCTGTGTATCTCTCTCTGTTTCTGTTTCTCTCTACCTCTATCTCTCTCTCTCTGTCTCTCTCTGTCTCTGTCTCTGTCTCTCTCTCTCACACACACATACTCTGTCTCTGTCTTTGTCTCTCTCTCTCTTACACATGTACACACACACACTGTCTATTCCCTGAGAGCCCATGAGGTTGAATTTAAAGGAGCCTAAGAGTGCGGTTTAGAGAGGAGTGTTTGCTAAAGAGATTGGTGACATCATAAAGAAGCCAAGAGCTTTACACCAGGACAACTGGAAAGATGCTATGAGGGCATCTCAGGGATCTACAAGACCCTACCATCAGAGCAACAGGTGTACACATGAACCGGAGCTTCGATGCCTGGGAGCTGGGGTCCCCTAAACACCGGTAATCTGCCAAATATGATAGGCTTTGGGTTTGGCATTTGTTAGGTGAGGTCCCTGTGACAGAGCACTTCTTGGTGTTGGTCTGTGTCGGAAGGGGCTGCCTTCTCACATGGAACATTTATACTTCTTTTTCCCAAAACACACCCTCCTTCTGCCCCAGATCTGACTTGTTCTCTGAAGGACACATGCCTGGCTAGGACATAGAGAGGTGACCCTGTCCCATAGATCTAAAAAGGGAAAATGTCACAGCAGGGAGAATGAACATCTTGTATGACACAGTTAAGGAACACAGCAGGACGGACCAGCGACTTCTCAGCGACTCTGGGATCCAACCCATGCCACGTCCACAGGAATTCATCAAGTTACCATGCTTGCCTCTGTGGAAATGAGACAAGCTGATGACACCTAGTGTTCTCACTGGTCCTTCTGAAAATGCTGCTGGATCCAGAAGGACCTGAAGTCCACACTCAGGTTCTGCATTTTTCCTCCCTTCAAGTACCTTAGAGCTTGTTTCCTTCAAAGACACTTTTAATGACTTGGTGGTGTGTGGTGGTATTGTGTTCCCCAAAATATTGTGTACCCTAATAAATTTATCTGGGGTCAGAGAACAGACAGCCACCAGATACAGAGGCTAGAAAATGGTGGCTCTCACACCTTTAATCCTAGCATTCCAGCGGCAGAAATTCATCTGGGATCTCTGTAAGTTCAAGGCCACATTGGAAACTGTAGCTAGAGTTTTCCTGCCTGGCCCACAGTCAGGACAAATCTCTCTCACCTGCCAGTCCCACAGCCGCTCAGACCCAACCAAGTAAACAATGAAAGCAAGCACACTTTATGCATTATGATTCTCTAGCAAAACATTCCTTCAGAAATGAGGAAGACATTAAGAAACTCCCGGAGATGAACACTGAGTGAAGGGATTTCAGATGAGATGAAAGGGGATGACCCAGGAATTCAGACTCTCGAGAGGAGATGAAGAACTTCCATACAGGCGACTCCACCCACAGTTAGAAAGGATGAACTTTGTTTCCTCCGAAATGGGAGAGACGTCATGTCACAAGCCCCCAAACAGCAGCGTCATGACTCAAGTGCACAGAGATGTCTCTTTGTGACACCAGTCCCTGGAGCTGTCGGGCAGGGTTGTGAGAGCAGCATTCTGCCTGTTAGTAAGAGGCATGAGTTCACATAGGAGTGCTGAGGTTCTTAGTACTCCCAGCGTAATCTCCATGGTGACACAGAAAAAAACTAGAATCACACAGAGAAGAGAGAAACTCAAGCATTTCTTCACTAAAAAATCAACTAAAATCAAAAGACGATAATCAGGGAATGAGAGACAAAGGCTGTAAGGCTAATGGAGGACACAGCAAATGCCTCCTCAGTGATTGCTGCATCCTCTCTCTCTCTCTCTCTCTCTCTCTCTCTCTCTCTCTCTCTCCTCTCTCTTTCCACAGACAGAGGTTGGCAGGATGTATAGAAAACGTGACCTGAGTCCATGCCATGTGCAAGGCTCACTTTGGCGAGCAAAGGTCCAAAGGTGGAACAGACATGTGAGGACCAGATGCTCTGTGCACACTGTGACCAGAAGGAACAGGGCCGCTGTGCTGACACAGACGAAATAGACTGTGAGCCACAGTCAGGTCACAGGACCCAGGGTGCTGTGTCCTTCCTGAACACCAGTGCTTTCCGCAGGCTGGAGCCAGCTGCCAGCGCCATGCACCAGGCTGAGCTGCACAGTGGCTGACATGGCAGTTTAAGATTTGTCTCACTCAGTCGGAGAACACTGCAGGCACTTAGTCAAGCCAGGTCCAGACACAGAAAACTGCTCAAGGTGCAGTATATTTTAAAATATGCTTAGATGCAGAAGAAAGAAAAGAAAGTGAGTATAGGTAGTCATAGAAAAAAACAGTTTAAAAATAATAAAGTCTTTAAAGAGAGAATAAAGTAATATAAAAACAATAAGCCACATTAAGATGGGAAATACAGAGTGTCTGAATCCTGTGTGGTACTTTGTTGAATTTGAATTTTTTTAAATGCTAATGTGCAAAAAACACTAGCTGCTGAGAGACAGTGGATTATGGAAACTGCTAAATTACACCAACCTGTATATTTTAAGAATGTCTTGACTTCAAAATGGAATTCAGAAAATATGTTGTGTTTGGCGAGAGATTATGACTTTGTTTCCACAGGAAACAAAAAGTTATGGTTCTCTTCAAAATTAATAAAGATCAGCTTTGATCAGGGGAGACCTCCTGAAAATCTTGGCTACAGACATGAAAAAAGAAACCAAGGAAGACTACAGGACAGGTGATGTATATGCTGATCCCTCTACTATGGGAATAGCTCTGAGACTGGATGAGACATGATAAATCTTGTTGACTACAGAGTCCTCATGACTTATTATTACATGTCATCCTTTCATGTGGCATGGATAGAGGTTTGGTTATTCAGTCCAAATGGACTTATAACATTGATAAATGTGCTTACCTGCTCAAACATAGAACAAAAAATCATGTTAACTGAGTTGTGCATACTGCTCATTCCATACTTGTGTTAATGCAGATATATATGTTACCTTTAAAAGTGTGTGTGTTTTCAGAAAGAAAAAAAGGACCAATCACCAATAAAGACAAGTAGCCCAGGTGATCCAGCTTCTCAGAATGCCTCTGTTGCAGTTTCCTCAAAATTCTGCATCTAGAACAACTTCAAAGTTGCTAGCTGAGACGGTTCAGTCTCAGACTATACAGCCAAGACTTGAGATAAGCTCTACACTTTCCCACCACACAGAGACTAAACAAATAATGTAACTAGCTCTCCTAGGACTTGACCATTATCTCAAATCTCTCAGGGTCTCCTAAAGTTCCCATTGCCCCCAGACAACAGGAAGCAGTCTAGAGAAAATGATGCCCACATTCCCATGAGGTGAGATGGGTGGTTTTTGGTCATTCAGTGAGTTATGGATGTTTATCATCATTGGGGGGCTTAGTTACAAGTTGTTATTGGCCATGGTCAGGGAAAAAAGGTGAACATAGGAGATTTGGTTCAGAGATCGCTTTCTGAAGAGAAAAAAGGGAGATATGGTGTAGAAATGATGGGATAAAAGGGTGGATTGTTGAGTCTACTTTTGAACAACCACTAGTCTCAAATATTTTACATTGGTACAGATTTTTGTATATTGATACAAACTTAAGGTTATTTTTGTTATTCTATATATATTTTTTGCTCTTGTTTAAGGTATTGTACCTATGCACCTCATTTAACAATGCAATGTAAATTTCTAGTCCTTAAAAGCTATTTAGGATAATAAAGAAATACAAGTAAGTAGTTCATCATCTATAACAATCAAATGCTGTGGATATCACTCTGTATAAATAAAACACTGATTGGCCAGTAGCCAGGCAGGAAGTATAGGCGGGACAAGCAGAGAAGAGAATTCTGGGAAGTGGAAGGCTGAGGCAGGGAGATACTGCCAGCCGCCGCCATGACAAGAAAGATGTAAGGTACCGGTAAGCCACGAGCCATGTGGCAAAGTATAGATTAATAGAAGTGGGTTAATTTAAGATAGAAGAACTAGAGAGCAAGAAGCCTGAGCCATTAGGCCAAACAGTTTAAATAATATAAGCATCTGTGTGTTTATTTTATAAGTGGGTTGTCAGACTGCCGGGGCTTGGCGGGAGCTGGAGAGAAAACTCCAGCTACAATCAAACTTATAGTCATGTTAGGTATATTTTCAAGGTCAAAGAGAGATATATTTTAAATAGATAAATGGTCTTCAAACACTTCAAAGATCTACATACTATGGCATTAACATGTTTTAATAGTATATGGCTTTTCATGACAGTGAAACACATGTGCTCCTGGCAGCACCAATTTACTTCAAAAAAAGATGATGGGCATTGAAGAACCACCATATGGAGTTTGCTTTTATTGTGGCAAAGTTAGCCACTGGGCAAGAAACTGCTCTTGCCTCGACTGCTTACAGTATGCTGTCCAAACAAGCAGGACACAAAAGAAGGTAACTGCCAAACTTTGCCAAGACAAGGTAGGGTAGTCCTTAAAAATTCCTGCTTCACAGAAAAGTCTGTCAGATATTTTAGGCCTGTAGGCTGGAGATGGATGCCCAACATTGCTGAGGAACCTTGAGTGACTGTCCAGGCAGCCAGCTGTTTCTGTCATTTCTATAGTTTTAGAAGTTGTTTGCTCCTCACTTCCTGTTTACTCAGGTAATATTATATCCTTCTTGGGTCTCTGATGGAGTTGACGACCAGATAGTTATAGTTACTGCTTTCCTTGTTACCAAATTCAAAAAAGAAACTTACACAAGAGGTATAAAGTATACAAGGTTGAGAGACATAAAAGCTTAAATTGTTCACCTAAGAAAATATCTTTAGGTCTTAAAAGATAGTTTTAGGATGGTAATACAAGTTATAATAGAAAATGGTTCAGATATAAAACTTTAAATTCTTTAAGATAAGATAGATAATAGAGTATTTTCTCTGAATATGCCAAATACAAATGGACTGAACATTGTGAATGTAATTCTTACCTGATAATTGTTCTTATTGTATATAGTTTTACTATATTACAGTTTAAGCCTTTCCTTTTTATTTAGACAAAAAGGGGGAAATATTGTGGAGTATTTGTACACTGTGTGAAGATACATTGCTGTGACTAATTTAATAAAGAGCTGGACAGCTAATAGCTAGGCAGGAGGTATAGTCGGGATTTCCAGGCAGACAGAGGAAGTAGGAGGAGATAATCAAGGTGCAGAGGAGACACCAAATATGTTGTTATTTGTGAGATGGCAGCCCAAAGAAAAATCTGTCTACATAGCAGAACAGGAAGGAGATGAGGACAAAAATCAGGGCAGGCAGGAGAAGCTAGGAGGCTTACTTGGGAGTCTTCAAATCAGCTGGACTCGTCCTTCTTCTTCCTGCTCTTCTGGGAGTCTAGACAGACTTCTCCAGATCACCAGACTGACTCCCCCTGTGGGAGCAAAGCCTCACCCCCACTCCGTACACACCTGCAAACACAGCTCTCTTCCTCAGGCCTAGAGAGGAGTGCTGGAGACAGTCATGCCCAGTAAGCTGTGCTGGTGAGGGTGCACTTCTCTGCTACCATTCAGGTTCACGGAGAATACACTGTGGACCTGCAGATGGAAGAGGAAGGCCTTTCAGTCAGCATTTCAGCTGGGTGGGGCTGTCAAGGAACCAAGACACTCCACAGTGTCACCCAATGGGCCAAGAAACAGCATGTGTTCTCTTGACTCTTTTTGGTATGAGTATATATGCATGTGTGTATAGCATATATGTGTGTAGAGTGAGGTATATGTACATATGTGTACAAATGGTATGTCTGTGTGTGATGTGTAGTTATGTATGTGATATATGTGTGTGGTGTGCATGTGTGTACATGTATGCCTGACTTGATGTGTGGATTTATGAGTGCTGTATGAATGTGGTGTATGTATGGTATACGTATATGTTTGTGTATTTTGTGTGTTTTTATTTGCTCAGAAACATGTGGTGGGCCCTGTCAGTTCTCACACTAGCTACAGACAGGAAATGGACAGCCCTGGGAGTCTAAGCATCCAGACATAAAGGGATGGGCCTGCAAAATGAAGAGTCTGGCCAGAAACACCCTTAAAGCTCCTAATGAAGAACATTCCCATTCCAAAGGCAGCAAGGGCAAAACAAAAGAAAACCAGAAAACACACTGCCTTTCACCACATGAGAATTCTCCCACGGCAAGGACCCTGAACCCCCAGATCTGTAAGTCCCCACTGCCTGCACTGGAGGCAGCTTCACTCCCCTGCTGAAAGCTGGGGTATTCCAGCTTCTCACTACCTGTAATCGGTTTGTTCTCTGCCTCTGCTGGAACTGCCCACAACTGCATCTCAATTGCCAAACCTGTGGACCGACCCACAAGAGCCAAGGAACTGTGAAGCTTCTTGCCTTCCACTTCACCCAGCTGTAATCTCCGCCTTTGCATGAGAACAAGGGTGGAAAGAGAGCAGGGTGGAAGACTTTGGTGAGGAGGGATGGGTGCTGGCAGACTGCTCTGCGCGTGGTGAACTGTCCCCATGAGCACGTCCTCACCCTGATGCGCAGTGATGTGGAAAGGGCTCCACAGCTGTGTGAAGGCAAGCATCTGGGATGAGAGATTATCTTGGGGTGGGGGTGGGTGGGGCAACAGGATCACAAGCATCCAAATAACAAGAACAAGAGGGTCAGGTAGAAGTAAAGAATGCGGCGTGGGGTATGGCTCCGTGGCACATCACTGCTGTGATAAAATGCCTGGGAAAAACCCCCGATGGAAGGAAGGGTCTGTTTTGCCTGCCTCACGGTTTGAGGGGATACACCCAGTCCATCACGGTGAGAAGGCGGGGTGGCAGGAGCGTAAAGTGGTGGATCAGATTGTGACCGTGGTCACAAAGCGGAGCGGGTAGAGTGCTGGTGCTCTTCTCTTCTTCTTCCCCTCCCCCTCCAGTGTGGGACCCCAGACCACAGAGTGCTGCATTCATTCGGGGCGGCATTCATGGGCGGGGGGCGGCATGGGTCTCTCCTCATCAGTTAAGGCTCTCTGGAGACAACCCACAGACATGCGCAGAAGTGTGTCTCTTAGGTGATCCCATATACAGTCAGTTGACCGTCCCATTTTCTATGGCCAATAGAGAACAGGAAAAAGAGGAGAGAAAGGGGGAGGGAGGGAGGGAGGGAGGGAGAGAGAGAGAGAGAGAGAGAGAGAGAGAGAGAGAGAGAGAGAGAGAGAGAGAGAGAGAGAGAGAGAGCATTAAAGCAAGAAGAGAAAGTGATGTTAGGAGAGTCCACAAGTCCAAAGCTTCCGAGAGCTTCTAGAAGCCCTCGTCTAGCAATGAAGTCCTGTTGACTTGATTTCAGATTTCCCAAACTGGTAAAACTATAAATTTATGTTGTTTCAAATGACTACATTTGTGGTGATTTTTAAGTAACAGATGAAAGGCTTTGAATGAGGGGATGGGAGCTTAAGAGGGATGTTGAAATGGGTCACTGGGGAGCGAGGAATTTTTTTATAGAAGTTATCAAAGCCATGGACAGGCAGAGAGGCAAGAGCAAGTGGGACTCCAAGGATCTTTCAGGACCCTGCACCAGAGACAGCGTGCTGGGGGCTTTGAAGAGAGGAAATTAGGCTCTACACAGATGAAGTTGGGGCTGTCTTCACATGTTTTCTGAGGGTAGGGGATGTCTTGTAGTACAAACCTGCAGCCAGACTGTCGATTCCTAGGCAGGAGGCAGGGGAGGTGCCATACAGAATGTACGGCTGCTAATATGATGGAAACTGACTTCCCAGGTGAGACATCCTGGCATTGGGATGTCTGTTAGCTAGAGACTCACAGACAGGGACTCTGCAGGATGCCCGTCAGTGTCTGTGAGGGAGAGGGTTGGCTGCTGCAGATATTGTGACCAGAGCAGCAGCTAGAGTCTGACATTACCTTATTAGAAGAGGAACAAGAAACTGATACAGTTGCCAATTATTCCAGAGAATCCGCAGCCAATCGTGCTCAACTACAGTTAACACTCGAATGTTTCCCTCAGTGTCTTCTGAGAAAAACCTTCCTTTTTCACATTGGCAAGTCCAGCTGTGGCTGTGAGCAGCCAGCCAGGCAGGTGGTGCCTGCTCAGGAAAGTCCTCCAAGGGGCAGCTGGCTTTTCATAGGGAGTGCCCCCACAGCTGTGCTGATGTTCTAGAAGGATGCGCACTTCCAGGGGTGGGTGTGTCTCCCCATCTTCAGTCCTATCACATTAGCACATCTGGCCACTCCCTTGAGAAGCTAGCCCTGCTAACACCAAGTCTTTGTTCTTAAACATCAAAATCCTGTTAGCTGTTATCTGAAGTTATTTATCTCCCGGAAAACACCGACCACTGAGAAAATGGCCAGTTACTGTTGGGTTTTGGATGGTGGTGGTGGTGGTGGGGTGTTCAAGAGGGACACTGAGAGATTACTGGGGACTGAGGAGTTTATTAGAAGAGTTAATAATGCCATGGACAGACAGAGAGGCAACAGCATGAAAGGGTCTCTGCAGAGATAAATCAGAGTTCACACAGCAGGAGAGGAAGTCTCCTCTGAGCCCTCTGAGGACAGGGAAGGTTTTATAGCCAGAGTCGGCAGCAAGTTTTCTGATTCCCCGGGCTGGAGGCAGGGAAGGGGGTGGGAGCAGAGTGAATAGAATCAATATTCCTTTTGATGTTAACTCACTTCCCAGGTGAGAGATCCCCAGTCCTGGGGTCTTCTGTTAGCTCAGGACTCACAGAGAGGGACTGGGTCGGTGCCTGTCTGCTTCCTTGAAAGGGGAGGCAAAGCTGCTGCAGACAACTGTGGCCTGAGCTGCAGCCAAATGCTAACATCACATTCTTACAATTGTTCTGCTGCAGGGTGCCTTTCCTGTGAACTCCTAGAGAAAGCGAATTCCAGACTTCTTTATCAGCAGTGAGAGACTCCTGGGACTTAGTGCCTCCCCAAGTATCCACTGAAGAGAGGGATTTGGCAAAGCCACTGTCCACCTAGGAGAATTGCTGTCTTCTATGAGGACAGGGACGTGGGCAATGTCCTCTGGCTAGTGATGTCTGCACACCCATTGCAAAATGACTACTCTGCAAAAGGAAGTCTAGGCGGCAATTCCTGCAGGTCTCCAAACCGTGCCTTATCAACATGACAACTTGTTTGCACAGTAGATTCAAGTCCCCAGTTCCTGAATCTATGAGTTTCTTAAATGCTGTTTTGTTTCATTAAAGATCTTAACTGGCTTTCTTTACAATTCTAGAACCAAGCAATGATTTATTCCACGAAGGAGAATGGGTCTTCGAAGTCTATTTTTAATTACTTAAACAAGAATTCCTTTATGAATCGATCGGTTTTCAGGGTTAACTACGTTCAAATCTAACAGGCAGAGGCCCTATTAACCCATTGCCCTACACTTAAAGGTGGAGCCTTTGTAAAGGCTTCCTCGGAGTTTCAAGAACTTTCTCTCAGGCTGAGTTATTGGTTCCAATTGGAATTCTGACTGGAGTGTCCGCTAAGTCTGCCTTAGAGGGCAGGGAGAAGAAATTGTTTGAGTCAGTTTTGCCGGCAAGTCCCCTCTTTCCAGTCCATCTCCCCTGACTGTGTACATGGCCCCTGGCTCTCTGCTGCACTGAAGGAAGCCTTCTGGCTGACTCTCGTCTCCTGGAGAGGTTGAGGTCAGCCCAGCACAGGCAGCCTGCTGTGGAGGTCCGCTCTTGAGTAATAGGGAGCTGCAGAATCAATGGAATCAAGCTTCATGCTGACTTCATCTTTGAAGAAAATCATACGCAGCTTTCAAAAATCAAGATAATTTTCTTCTGGAAATACCTTACTTTTGTGTGGCTTTTGCAACAGTGTTTGTTTTAAACTCAAGATCAGGTCAGAGAAAGGAATGCAATTTTTATGATTATCAGAAAAAGCCCACAGAAAGGATGCATTTGAAGGGAATCAGGTGTCGGGATAACTGGAGTTTGCCATTGGGTCACATCTCGTCCTTCCCATCTTTCTTCAGCATCTTGGTTTCCTTACTATTGCTGTGACAAAATACTCTGACGAACGCCACTTGGGAAGAAAGGGTTCATTTCCGCTCACAGTTCTAGGTATTGGTCCCTCGCTGTAGAGTAGTCACAGAGGCAGGGACAGGCACAGATGGTCAGGTCCTCTTGCAACCACAGTCAAGGCAGAGCTCCTCTGTGATGAGACGGGAATCCTAGGAGACTGCAAATGACTTTTCTCAGCCTTGTGGGTTAGCACGGGAAGGAATGTCTGTAGAGATGGCCTGTCTCCCTCGGGCAAAGAGTTCCAGGAAGGAGAGAGTGCAGGGGAGAAATGCGGGCTTTGTTGCACTAACTCCCTTATTCCCACGCCCCTCACCCCACTCCTATAAAGATCCACAGCCAGGGTTTACCCCTGGCAGACCCCTCAATTTTCCCTGGGAGAGAATCTACCCTTCGCTGTGTGAGCTGATAAACACAGTCCCATCTGTTGAAGCTCAGACTCCTGTCTCTTACAGCCTTCTCTCTCCTCCTGGTGCCTCAGAAATTTAACAGTCAAGAAGCAGCGAGCAAGGGATGCATGCTTGCTCGTGTGCAGCCAGCTTGCTCTCTCTACTTTTGTACAGTCCAGGATACTCTGACCAAGTAACGATGCCACTCAGAATGGAGGTCTTCCCACCTCAATTAATCAAGATAATCCCCTGTAGACCTGCTCAGAGGCCCATCTCCCAAACGATTCCACATTCTGTCAAGTTGACAAAAAAAAAAAACAAAAAACAAACCCACAGGGAATGATGTTCAATGAACCATGAATAAATGAGTGAGTGAGTGAGTGAGTGAGTGAGTGAGTGAGTGAGTGGGTGTGTGGGCAAGTACACACATGCATACTGGAGAATAGTCCAGAAATCCCAGCAAGCATCACACAGGACCAGCAAACAAACCAGGCAACTAACAAGTCAGATTCCAAGACCTTATGAATTTAACCCAGGTCAGACTTTGGGGAGGGAGAAGTCACAGGGGTCACACAAATGTGAAGACAGAGTGGGGGAGGGGTGAGCGTGGGGGTGGGGACCCCACAGCTGAGCGGGACCCACACGAGGAGTCTGGATACGGTGGCCCAGCCACATGGAGCAGTGTGCTGTCCCAGACTCCCTCTGGCTTCCTCTGCTTTAAATGTGGAATAAAGTAATTTTAAATCTTTTTGTGGGTGTGACATTTTTCCTCAACAGACTGGATCTTAAATTTAGATGTGGGTATTGCGTAACACAGGGAGTGAGCGTCTGCGCTGTCTGAGATCTGAAATAACCAGGGGCAAGTGAAGCGGATCAAGGCCTTTATTGTCCGCTGGGGACATAACGTTGTCAATGGGACAGTCACAAGTGCGTCTAGGGAAGGGTGAAAGAAAGCCTTGAGATAGAGTCAGATCCTTAGAGAATGCACACACCCAAAGTAAAACAGCACCCAGCGGCGTCAGGACCCTGGGCTTGAGAAGGCTTTCTCTAATGGGGGTTGATGACATAACCCATGGGAAAAAGGAAGACACCCGTCGGCAGTGATCTGAGCAGCAGCCTTACTGACAGGAGATGTTTAACAGTTCATAATAACAG